CCAGTTGGTCCAGTGGTGAGAATCTTTGTCTTCTTGACATTGAGCCTGAATCCATATTGGAGGCTGCAGTCCTTGACCCTCTGCAACAGGTTCTGCATATAGATTGAAAAAATATGGAGATAGGACACATCATTGACACACACTCTTTGCAATTTTTGCACCATGCAGTGTTTCCTTGCTCTGTTCTGATGAGTACCTCCTGGTCCAAGTATCTGAGAGACTGGGCTCTGTGAAGAGAAATGTGGCACCAGGATTGCAGGAAGATTCATCAATAGTCTGCATTATGCAGATGACAAAACCCTGCTTGCTGAAACTGAGGAGGACCTGAAGCGCTTGCTGCAGAAGGTCAAGGTTTGCAGCCTTCAATATGCATTGAGGCTCAATATAAAGAAAACAAAGATTCTTACTACTGGGCTGTTTGGCAGCATCATGATAGATGGTGAAGAGATTGAAATCATTAACAGCTTTAGTTTCCTTGGCTCCACAATCAACATTTTTGGCAACAGCAGCCAGGAAATTAAAAGACATATTGTGATGGAAAAGTCTGCTGTTAAGAAAGCTTTCCAAAGTACTGAAGAGTAACAATGTCAGTCTTGGGAGGAAGGTGAGCCTGATACAGTCTTTGCAATCATTTGATATGTGTCAGAGAGCTGAATAATGACTAGGGATGATAGAGGGAGAATTTATGCCTTTTAGCTGTGGTATTGGATAAGAGTATTGAATATACCATGGACTACTAAGAAAATGAATCCTAGAAAAGATTAAACCAGGTTGTTCCTTGGAGACAAGGATCCTGAAGCTTCATCTGATATACTTTGGACATATTGTAAGGAGGGACCAGTCCTTAGAGAGGGATGTCATGCTTGGGAGGGTAAAGGGACAGTGCAGGAGAGGAAGACCCTTGATGAGATGCTTTGATTCAGTGACTGGGGTAATGGGGGTAGATGGGTCAGAGATTGAAATTGGCACAGGATAGAGCAGGATTTAGGGTTGTTGTACATAGGGTCGCTATGATCGCAGGTGACTCAACGGCACATAACAACAACAGCATCGTCATAAACAAGGGACACGAGGGGGAGAACTGGTAGCCTAATGGCAAGAAGCTGTATTGCAATCCTGAAGACATGCTGTTCAAGTCCACTGGCTGCTCTGTGGGAGAAAATGTGCAATCTCTTCTCATGCAATTAACTGCGTCTGAAAACCTGTTGGAGGGTCAGCTATGGGTTGGTTCCCACTCAGTGGTACACAACTAAAACAAGCAGAGGCACAGTGGCTGTAGCTCCTTCAACAGACCTACATAGGGCCAGTGCATTTAACGGTTATTTACTGAGTGCCTGCTGTGTGCCATGGATGGCTTAGTTGTTATGTGCCGACTCATGGTGACCCTATGCACAATACCTTAGAAATACTTGTTCCAGAAAAGGACAAAAAAAAACACCTCCCTGCCTCATGGTGCTTATATCTAAGCTGGCTAAGTCACCACTAACACATCCTTCTTTTTGTTGACAATAGTAGTATTAGAAAGCTAATGGGGAGACCTCTAAGAAACAGTCAGGTATCCTTATGGGGAATATGAACAAGGTTGTATTAGTACATGTTGTGATGATGTAGTTTCTGTGTGCACCATAGAGGCCTTCTTCCTCTGATGCTAATGTGGCTGTTAGCATCTTTCATGAGCAGAACGAAAAATGACAAGTCCAGTAAACAGAAAGGGAACTAAATAAATTAACTGTGAACCATTATTTGAAAATAGTTCCATCAACATCCTTTAAAAATTTTAAGTAGCTGAGATGAAGTCTCATTATCTTTGCTTCTAAAGAGCACTCTGATTGCGCTTCTTCCAAAGTAGTTTCTTCGTGCTTGTCTTACTTATGACAGTGATGGTTTTTAAAAATGGTAATGTGAAATAAGGGATTGAATCAGACATTGTAATTTAGTTATTTACCAATTATAATTAACGTTCTAAAACAAAGTGTGTGTGAATGGTTGAATAAAAAAAATAATATTATTTGTCAATTCTGACTCAAATAAAAAAAGATAATGCTTAAAAAAATTTAAGTTGCAAATGACAAAATGTGCATAACATTGGTTATATAGAGTTTTTATAAATGCTTTAAAACTTTCCTTCATTCAGGGTAGTACACTGGGCCATTCTTGTGATAAATCCTCCATATTGTATAGGCTGAGTGTTTCCTTATTTATAATATATTTGTATTTAGGTCTCTGGAAAAAGAAAAATGTTCTTAAATTACAAGATGAGTACTTTATGTCTTTTTTAGGAAGCCAAGTTGTCTGAAACAATTTCAGTTTCCAATGCCTGGAAAAGTCATTACGAGAATACTATAATAGAAAAAACTGAGTTGGAAGTTCAGATCGAAACACTGAAGAAGTAAGGAAGAAAACAAAAAACCCACATTAGAATATTGCTATGTTTAGTATTTTCAGTTTTCCCCAACTTTAAATGATTTGTGTTTTAATTCTATTAGATTCTTTGTGGTTAACGGTACTGTCTGTATGATTTGTTTTTGTGCCATTTTTAATTCTATAAACTTTTCTTATACTACCTTACCATGAAAGTAACGTGATCACCCTTTAAAAGTACACTAATGTTCACGTTTTGAAATTTTGGAACTCATAGTGTATGTAGTACCTTAGCGCTAAATTTGTCTTTTTTTTTCTTTTATTTACCCAACCTGCAATGCACCCCTTGTTCCAGATTGTTCTCATACATGTAACGCTTAATCATATATTCCTTTCAGACAGTTCTTCCCCTCATCTGTTCTAATGCAGTGTTCATTATCTATCCACTCTCTCCCCACCCCCTCTGCAACCCGCCTATATCTGTCCTATTCACAATACATTAATTAACCTCGAATATTTACTTTCTCATTCTTTTATTTTTTAATATTATTTTCATTTTAATCATTGAAACTTTTTGTTCAATACCATCGTATCGACTTTACTCATAGCGTAAGCAATCAGAACTTTGCCCTAGCCTGTGTTGCCTTTCTTGATCATGTTAAACCTTTTAAAAACTTGTATATGTACATGAATGAAAGAAGCAAGCAGACACACATGCATATAAGTAATAACGCAATCACTGGATTCCGTCTGGAAGAGAATGCTGTATAATATATATATTTTTTAACATCATGATTGGGCAATTATTTTTAATCTCATACAACACATAGGTCCGTGGAGTACACCTGAACAAAATTCTTCCTGGTCCTGTACCATACTCAAAATCTGCTGTGCTAAGCCCATTGTTGCAGTCACTGTGTCAATCCAGCTCTTTGAGGGTCTTCCTCTCTTTTGCTGACTCTTATAAAATGTATCATTATTTTTATGAAGGCAAATCACTCAACTCTTGGAGGATCTGAAGAAAATAGAAGACCATGGAAAAAAATCATGTGAAGAAATTATTAGCAAACTTCACGCCACTGAATATGAAAATGAAACTCTTCAGCTTGAGAATACAAAATTAAAGGTACAGTGTATATAAAATTAAAGGTACTGTTCATATACATGCATATGCATATAAACATACATACATAAACTCATGTGAACTTTATGAGTGACAACTTAGTCTATTTAGTAGCTTGAACTAATGAAATATGTTTAGAATGGTGCTTTCTTTTATATTATTTTATCTTTTATGCTACTCAGAGTATTAGTGTATATTTATATGTAATTTCTGAAACTATCTTTGCATATTTATAAATTTCATATACACAATATGTATGTTTTCAAATGTTACACAGATGCATGTTAAAAGTTGTTTAGGAAGTTAAGTTACTTTTTTGTCCCAGCTGAAATGATTTTTATTGTCCAATTTTATAGTTAATTAAATCATCCAATATTAACTTTAGTGTACAAAATTATTTCTAGGTGTCATGGTTACAATAGGATACAACTTCAATCCTGGTCTATTTGAAACCAGAAAGTATGTTCTTGGCTGCTTTATAACCAGAAAGAATTTTCCAATGTAGTCAAACCAAAGCAGTGATTAGTTTGCATGTGTAACAGAGAAGGCATGGGAAAGAAGCTATTACTTTCTAAGAGAAAAAGATAGTTGAGTTTTTAGACAACCAGAAATACATGTAACTGGAGAAGACTAAAAATGATAGCATAATTTTGGGTTCTATAATACTACTTTTAGAGAACATAAATAGAAGACAGAAAGTAATGTTTTTAAACCATGAAATAAAATTTGTATAAACAGAATAAATAACTATATTAGTCACACAGAGTACATATTAGGGAAACTTGTACAATCACTATCTAATATTGTTTTCCTGTGTTTATAACAGTTTTATTTTTATCGCAACATTTATATTTAACTTTAAAGCATACATTTATTCTGGGTACTGAGAAGTCTTTAATGCAGAAAATTTGTGTGGTACTTGAGAGAAAAGCAATCTTTAATGTTAAGAGTAGTGCTAAGATGTTCTCATTTCTTTTAAGAGTTAAATTGTATTTTTCATTAGAAATGTATCATTTATTTTTCTTGAAAAAACCATTACAGTTACTTCCTATTTAAAATTTAGTATATAAAATGACTGGTATCTTTTTTTATGAGTTTTTGAGGGGAAAAATATTGAAATTTATCAGATAATAGTAAAAAACTCATCTTAACAGAATGATAGTCTTATGAGCTTTAAGCTTTTCGACCATTATTTAAAATAGGGATGCACTTAAATTTTATTGCCTTTTTCTAAACAATTCTTTATATGTGGAAAAAGCTGTATACCAGAGAGAGAATTTTATTCATAGAGCTGTTGGCATATTCTTCTAGTGGGCCATTTTCAGATATTGATCTCTCTTTGGGGCTTGGTGGTTCAGTGGTTAAAAGACTCAGCTGAAACTGAAGTGTTACAATGCCACTTTGCAGAAGAAATTCATGATAGTCTCTTTCTGTAAAGATTTGCAGCCTTGGAAACCCTGTGAGGCTGTTGTAGGGTGACTAGGAGCTGGAAACTAAGGCAGTAGTTTAGATTTTAGATCTGTATTTGTAGTAGATGTAAAGTGTATAGTAATTAAGTAGAATATATACTAAGATTAAGGTACACCTGATTCAGGCTATGGCCTTTCTGATCACTTGCTGTCCATCTGAAAGCTGGAGAGAATCTAAGGATGACAGAAGAAGAATTGATGCCTTTGAGCTGTGGTATTGGTAAAAAGCATTGGATATCCCAAGGACTGCCAAAAGAACAAATAGATAGTCTTGGAGAAGATGCAGCCAGAGTGTTCCTTGGAGGTAAAGATGATAAAGCTTTGCTGGCACATATATACATACATATACATATATATGTGTATGTATACATATATATTGTTGTTATGTGCCGTAGAGTCGCTTGCGACTCATAGCGACCCTATGTACAACAGCCCTAAACACTGCTCTATCCTGTACCAATCGCACTGCCTCTGACACACCCATCCTGATTACCCCAGTCACTGAATCAATCCACCTTGTAGAGGGCCTTCCCCTCCTGCGCTGTCCCTCCACCCTCCCAAGCATGATGTCCCTCTCCAAGGACCTGTCCCTCCTTACAACATGTCGAAAGTATGTCAGATGAAACCCCAAAATCCTTGCCTCCAAGGAGTAGCCTGGTTTAACCCTCTCCAGGATGAATCTGTTTTCTTGGCAGTCCATGGTACATTCAATACTCTTCTCCAGCACCACAGCTCAAAGGCATCAATTCTCCTTCTATCCTTCCTAGTCATTGTCCAACTCTCTGTTGCATAACAAGTGATTGCAAAGACCATGGCCCGTATCAGACACACCTTAGTCTCCAGAGACACACCGTTGCTCTTGAGTACTTTAGACAGGTCCCTAATAGCAGACTTTCCCATCGCAATACGTTTTTTGATTTCCTGGCTGCTGGTGCCAAGAGTGTTGACCGTGGGGCCGAGCCAACTGAAGCTGTGAACAATCTCAGTCTCTTCGCCATCCATCCTGATGCTGCCAACTGGTCCAGTGGTGAGAATCTTTGTCTTCTTGATATTGAGCCTCAGTCCATACTGAAGGCTGCAGTCCTTGACCCTCTGAAGCAAGTGCATGAGTTCCTCCTCAGTTTCAGCAAGCAGGGTTGTGTCATTTGCATAACACAGATTGTTAGTAGATCTTCTACGAATCCTGACACCATACTTCTCCTCATAGAGCCCAGCCTCTTGGATAATTTGTTCTGCATACAGGTTGAAAAAGGTATGGAGATAGGACACATCCCTGGCGTACACCCTTCCCAATTTTGAACCATGCGGTGTTTCTCTGCTCTGTTCTGACGACTGCCGATTAAATGTTCTGGAATTCCCATTCTTCTGTGAGTCAGCCACAGTTTGTTATGATCCACACAGTCAAACGCCTTTGCATAATCAAAGAAGCACAGATATACATTCTTCTGGTATTCCCCTGCTTTCAGCTAAGATCCATCTAATACATATATATACATACATACACTTAGCATATAGCTAGGAGAGGCTGTTCCTTAGAGAGGGACAGCATGTTTGGAAAGGTGGAGGGATGGCAAAAGAGAAAATCCACCTCAACCAGGCATATTGACAATAATAATTTTTTTCTTCCCTTTTGAGTATTTGCTTATTGCTATGAATTGACCTCTGAGTACTGCTTTTGGAAAATCCTGAGGTTTTGGTAAATCGTGTTTTTCATTTGTTTCAAGAAACAAATTTTTTTCTTTTGTCTGTTACTCACTCATGTACAAGCAGGGAATTGTTCAGCTTCCAGGTGTATGGTATTTTCTCCTTTGTCCCTTTGTTATTGATTTCTAATTTTGTGGCACGGTTGTCTGAGAAAATGGTTTGTCTTCTATGTTTTTTGATTTATTTAGACTTATATATGAAAAACTCTGGAGAATGTTCCATGTGTGCAGTAGAAGAACATATACTCATCTTTTTTGGGGGTACATTAGTTTCTACATATCTATAATGTCCAGTTGGCTGATTGTGTGATTTAACTCTTAAGCATCTTTGTTGAATTTCTTTCTGGTAGTCCTATTTTTCCTTGAGAGTGGTGTATTGAAGTCTTTACTACTATAGTGGTGTTGTCTATTTGGTTTTTTAGATCTGTTAGGATTTGCTTTATGTGTTTTGCTGGTTTATCATTACATGTTAATGATGTGCAAAGATGTTAATTATGGCTATATCCTCTTGTTCTTTTAACCCTTTAAGTATTATATAGTGCCTTTCCTTGTCCTTTGTGATAGATTTTACACTGAAATCTATCTTATGGGAGATTAATATTGCTACTCTTGCTTTTTTTGGGGATACCATTTGCTTGGTAAATTTTTTTCCGTTCTTTTCTTTTTTAGTCTGTCTTTAGTTTTACTTTTTTAAGTGTGTCTCTTATAGACAGCATGTTGATGGGTTTTGCTATTTGATCTAATCTTCTACTCTTTTTTTTCCTTTTCTTTTTCCTTCACTGGTGAATTTAAACCTTTCATATTCAGTGTAATTATTGAGAGGCAAGGTTTTATTGCTATCATTTTGTTGTCTTCTTTTTGGTATTGTTGCTGGTTACTTTCGTTCATCCTATTTTCTGTGGCATCTCTGTAAGAAGGACTTCCCTCAGTATTTCCTGCAATACTGGTCTTGGTTTTACAAACTCCTTTAGGTTCTGCTTTTCTGAGAATATCTTGATCTTCCCATAATATTTGATGGAAAAATTTGCTGGGTACAATATTCTTGGTTAAAAGTTGTACTCTTTGATTGTGTGACCACTTCCGAGCCAGCCTAGTCCTACCTTCAGCCTTCCTGCAGTCTCAGAACCTCCTTCTTAGTTGTTCTTAATTAAAGAACTTGAAATTGGCAGTCCTGTTTCCTATAGTCTGTTATCAATAGTGGAGCATTCCTAAATGATCACAGACAACACATAACAGGAAGCAACAAGATCTTATTTTTCCCACCTTTAACTTCTTTAGCAATATAATGAATTAATTTTTAACAGTTATATTCAAAATTATGTTTTTCTTTTCAGATAATTTCATATATCCATTATTGTTTTTCAAAACAATATGAAATGTTTATAAAATTGTATTTTTCAGTGATCATGGCTCCTCCTTCTGATTGTCTGTTATTTGGAATTCCCTTCTAAAGGAAGACTACATACTCACTAAATTTAGAAACTTTATGGAAACTAAAGAAAGAACAAAATAACCCTTAATCCCACATCCAGATAAACACATAACATTTCTGGGTTTTTGTCTTTGTTGGTATTAAATGGAATGTTTCTTTATTTGTTAACTTTAACATGGCGCAATATATGATATATTGTACAATATATAATAAGAGTTACTGATTAACATGTATTCTTTAGACTTTATTTCTCATTGATTTGCTGATCTGTTCCTGCTTTGTTGGTCATTCATACTATTTCCAATGTGATCCATTAAGAGTTTATTCTAGGCGAGCTCTGGTGGCCTAGAGTCAAGAAGCTGCACTGTAATCTCAGAGGTACATGGTTTGAATCCACCA